TTTTTTTAATAATTTTTTTCCCTTTTTTTGGCATGGAGACCGGTCCCCGCCCCCGGCACGCAGGGCCGTTAGTCACCCGGGTGCGTGGCGGGGAGGCGGGAGAAGCGCCGTGGGAGCCGCCGCTGCTGCTTTTGCTGGATGGGTGGAGAGAAGGGCAGCGGGGATGTTAAAATTCAGTGTCTCCTTTTTTTTTTTTTTTTTTTTTTCCTCCATCACTCAAGCCATTTCTCCGTCCTTTTTTTTTTTTTTTTTACAAAACCACAATCTGAGCTTGCAGATTCTGTTGCTGGCACCTCTGAGGCTTTCACCTTTCAGCTTCTCTCACGCAAATTAAAATTAGAGTTTGAAACTAAAGCCACTTTCAGGCAAACATCCAATATCAGATGCAGCACGGCAAAAGGTAGTTCTGGATGCTTGTACTCGGCTCCCATTTTTTTTGTATGCTTCAATGGTTATTTAAGTTAGAAAGATATTATGAACCCACTGGACATAACATGACACAGAACTCAGCAATGGCTGAGTATTGCTAATCTAACACTAACCAAAATTATGTTTTTTCTGTAAGTATATGAACCTTAAAAAAATCTGCATAGACAGATAACAGAGTTTAGGGCACTGCAGTGCATAAAAATCAAGCATCTCATTTTCATGTGTTGTTCCACACAGAATGCTTCATGAGCCTTGGGGCACTGAAGTGTTTTAGTTTGGATCAGGGATGCACTTTTGAAGTAACTGCTCTCATCATCTCTGCTAACAGTGCTCTAATTCAGAGCGTAGAGTGGTGTTGGAGTGCGTGAAGTAGATCTCTTTTGTATGAAGCTAAACTAATGCATTCCAGCCACAAATGGGCACTGGGTGGGACTCCAACTGAACTAGTCAAACAGTAGGAATCCTTGAACTGTGTACAGCTTGAGGATCAGGCTTTCAGCACCAACTGCTGCACTCTACAGGTCTTCTGTTAGACCTTGGGGCTTGCCTGTGCAGTTGAAGATTTGGAGCTTTGTAGTTCAGAAGGAAAATCCCAGAGGGTTTCTAATGTAACATCTGAAAGATCTGATTCATGGTTCACAGCAGGCAGTCAAACTGATGCTTAAAAACTTTGATGCTTGAAAGTCTGCCAAAACTCCCAGTTTGTATATGGATCTTCCCATATTCTTGTGTCAGGATTACATCATGTCATCCATAGCTATAAGAATAACTTGAACTGAGTTCAAGATCTGACGCTGTTGTCTAAAGGGTAAAAAAAATGTGCTACCAGTGTTGCTATTTCAGATACTGTCAATGGCTTTGTGGTCCCTAATTATCCCCCTATACCTGCAACTGATTCCAGGATAGAAGGCAGTGGTGCTACAAGTTAAAAATTAGGATAAATGACTGGGCAATGCTTTAATGCTTAAAAATAACTGAATTAACTTCTGATAACATATGCTAGCAATTAAAACAATTTTTTTCTATCAGCGTATCTTGTCATTTTAATATGAGGCCATATTGTAAGCAATGTAGCAGATGTTGAATTTTTATGAGAAGGCATAGACAGAACCACTGTGGTGGCAAAATCAGAGATGAGAGGTTTTTTTGTTATAATGTACATAAAATAAATTACTTTTTCCTACAGTGCTTCTCACAGGTAACCAGTTTCATGCACTAATATGACATAATTACTTTTTTACTGAGATCTGTCTTCTTTTGGAAGGGGTGTGTGAGAAAAATTTGGTAGGTAAGATAGAATGCTTTATAATAAACTTAATCTTGGGCTTTGCAAAGCCTTTACGTGCCTGAAATCAAACATTATAGCTCACTTGTCTTCTGGGTTACTTCTGTATTCATTATAATATTTTTTGCCCTCATCTTGTGGTTGTACAGAAATGTTAGAACAGCAGATTTTTGGTTACTGTGTCCAAAAGTTTAGGGCTAATTTCACTCAACTATAAAGATGGAATTTTCTAATGTGAACTCTTCAAATCAGGCATGGATGTGGAGGCCAGGCCCTTTTATTCTGACACTCACATCATGGCCTATAATAGAGATGCTTTTTTTTGGAAGCCTAGACTAGACTCCACCAAGTCACTATAACAAAATATAGGAAAAAAATATTTACCAGGTGAAACAAGCATTTACGACTGAATACAAACAAGCAGCAGGTCTCATTCATAACAAGATATCTTTTTTAGACATTTTTCCTATAAAAAAGAGGGGAAATGCCCAAGTTACCCAAGGGCCACCTGAATGTTTTTACTGGGGACTCCTAATGGGGTTGTGGTGGAGTGACCAGGGCCAGAGCCAAACACTTGAAGGCAGCAGCCGAATTGTCTTGGCTTCCTTGTTTGGTCCCACAAATGTGCTGGCTCGGTGTCAGGCTGGCCCTCCAGTGCAGATCAGAGCAGTCTGATCCGTTCTGCTGGAAACGGCATGAAGTGCCAAGTCCTGCACTTGGCCTCTCTGGGAGTGCCTGTGAGTCACCATATCAGCTGGGCCCACGGGCAGCTCCTGCTCTGGTGGCCAACCAATGTCACGTTGCCTGCAAGGAAAGAGCTGATCACCCACTGCATCCGTATTAATCACTGACACCAAGAGCCAAGTAGGAATAAATTTTATGTAAACATCAGTGGAAGTGGATGGCGAAATTTAGTGAGGTAAAAATGTATATACATGGGGCAAGATACTATCATGGCATTTTACAAGAGCCTTTTAACAGGCAAAAATCAATGGGAGTTTTGCTTAGCTTGAAAGTGAAGAAATTGGCACATGGATAGAAGCAGATTATTCATTTCTTGTTTCTTGCAGTGATATTTCATTACATGCAGAAGAAACAAAACCCATGAAACAGTCAATAGATATTGTTTCTTTCTTAGGGTCTTGGGAGAAAACAATGTAACAAAAGGGAACAATGCTGGTTTAATTATTATTCTCTACAAACTGGCTGTTGCTTTCCCAGGAACCAAGCTCTCGGTTGAGCAATCAGTAATTTAAAAATAATTGTACTGTCAGTTTCCTATACAGTGTTGCATATTTAATACATGCAATAAAGGCCGACAGCCACAATTCTCAGGTGGTAGAGTCTGCTATAACTGCACTGGCATCCCTTTATAAAACTTCTCCTAAAATATGTGTTTCAAAATGTGTAATTTGCAACTATTGCTCTTGAATGGGATCCTTTCATTTTGAAGATTGGGCCCATGGTCAAAGAGTTAAGGCTTTATTCCTTCCTGTGCAATCATTTCCATGCAAGGATTACAAACCGATACTTTCTTAATCTAT